ACCAATATGCAACCTGTTCAGATTCTTATATGATTTGGTGTATATAAATCATTAACATTAACCTGAAAAGTGACAAGAATATGTGTATTCTTCAAGTCATTATGGTATATAAGAAATGCTTACCAGTAAGGTAACAATATGCTATATTACAACTATTGTCAAATTCCTGTCATCTTGTTTTGTAAACCTGTACTGTTACTGTGTTTAGTTTCTTTCTCATTGTCTGTCTGTCTGTATTGCTTTTTTTTTTTTGTATTTTTAATCTTAAATAAAATAAAAAGAAATGCTTAACGTGGGATGCGTGATTGTTTCCTACTCTTAAGCCATTTTGGTGTAGTTATTGTAAATAAAACTGTATATTTGCCTGGTGGTTTAATAAAAAATTATATAAACTACAGTTATTTAGTTTATAACTACATAAGTAATTTATAAACAGAACTTCTACTTGCTGTGGTTGATCAAATTCACTTAAGTTTTAAAGTACTTTGTTGCTTTTCATGCCTCATACTGTCAAACAAGTTCTGGTTTAAGGAATATGTAATTATATCATAATACGTTAATTTTTATGCTAATACCATGTCTTAAATTATCATTCTTATTTTCTTAAATTATTTTCATAATTTATTTTCATCTTATTTTCTTAAATTATTTTTGGTTCTCTTTTTAGGATGTGAAATAGGACAGCAATTCCTTCTATATTAAATAGAAATTAGGTAAAAAATTTAACTAAATTATCATTACCACAATTTTAGTAGTAATCTACTGATAGAGTGTTTCTGGGATCCTTTTTATCATTCATTTAGATTCTCAAATTTCTTTCTGGTATCCAATCAAAACCTGTTTTTAAAGGTCACTTTTCAAAATTGTTTGAATGAGAGTAGAAATTTAAAATGTTACTAGCTGGGATGGAATCATTAACATGTGATGTACCCCACCAGAAGTCAAGAATCCCATTTCTAAACACTTCATACTAAAACAACCCCATAGTTTTTTTTTTCCTGAACAATTATATGTATATTTTTTTATTTAGAGGAAAAAAGCAAAACAGAATAAAAGGTAGAAATAATACAGAATTTTAAAAAAAAAGTAAGAAATCACTAGTTGATAACTTACATATTTTTTATCTTAGAAGTAGTTGTTCAAGTTACAAAATCAAAGCATAAAAAATGAACAAACAATCAGATGACAGCAAAAACTATTCTGTTTGATGAATTAATAAAAAATTAGTACGTTTATCTTGCACACTTAAACATATATACAAGTATATGTGCATACATACAAGTTCTGAACAATTATTTTTGAACCTTTGGTTCAGTCTCCAACAAGCATGTGTACACATGTGTACACATTCATAAAAAAATAAAATTGAATATATTTGCCATTTATACTTCTTTAGGAAATGTGTCATCTCAGATGCTCATTTTTTTGATTGGGTCTTTTGAATTTGGGAAGTCTGACTTTTTCAATTCTTTATATGTTCTAGATATTAATTATTTATCTGAGGAAAAACTGGTTAAGATGTTTTCCCACTTGGTAGGTTATCTTTTCACTCTGTTGGTGATTTCTTTTGATGTGCAAAACTTTTTAGTAAATGATTCTTTGTGGTATTTCTTGTGCTTGTTGATTAAGTCTTTGCCTAAACCTATGTCTTCAGGAGTTCTACCCTATTTTCTCGTCTAGCAGACTTAGTGTTTCTGTTTTAATATTTAGATCTCTGATCCATTTTGATTTTAATTTAGTACATGGTAATAGATAGGAGTCTAGTTACAGACTTTGACATGTGGAAAATCAGTTTCCCCAGCACCACTTACTAAAAAGGCTTTCTTCCAGTGAAGGTGTTTGTCCTCTTTGTCAAAGTAAAGGTGGTTGTGTGTGTTTGGGTTTGTTTCTGTATTTTCTAATCTATTCCATTAGTCCTCAGGGTTTTTCTTTTTAGCCCCTAGCTTTGTATATAATTTCAAGACAGCAAGATTGTGATGCCCCCTGTCTTGCCTTCATTGCCTAAAATTATTTTTGCTATTTTTCTTCTGGTTTCAAATGAATTTAAATTTTTTTTTTATTATTTCATTTTAAAGGGAGCAAAACGGAACAGTAAAGTGAAACAAAACAAAACAATAATGGGACAGTAGGAAATCCATAATTGTTACTATATTACATGTTGTTATCCTCTAAATAGTTACCCAGACCACTTATCTCAGGTCTGCAAAGTCAATCAAACAATATAAATGTCAGATTATTTCCCTATTTCAGTTACTTAAATTGTTATCATCTCAGTGTGTGTCACATCCAGTTGCTTAGACATGGAGTTTGGGGCTTGGGGAAGGGGGTGGGCGAGAGGCTCTTTTCTCCCTGGCCAAAAGGGCATCTTCCAGCACACATGGAGGTTGGTTGGCTTCCTGGCTGCCTCTGCCTAGCTGGCAGGGTTCATATCATTATACAAGGAGGCTGCATAGCTTCCTTGCTGCTTCTCTTTGGCCAGTAAGGCCTCCACCGGCACCCAGGTAGGCTGCATGGCTTCCCTTGCTTCTCCGTGGCCAGCCGGGCCTCCACCTACACACAGGGAGGCAGCATGGTTTCCTTGCTGCTTCTCCGCAGTCAGTAGGGCCTCTGCTAGCACACAGGGAGGCCGCATGATTTTCTTGCTGCTTCTCCTCATCTGGTAGGGCCTCTGCCAGTGCACGGGAGATGGGGGCCGCATTGCTTCCTTAGTGTTTCTCACCAGAGGCAGGCAGATCATCTGCCTGGTGTACTGGTGCTGGAGGCCACATTCCTTCTTTGCTGCTTCGCCCCAGGCTCAACTTTCTTGGGTGCAGATGGGATGGGGCTGCATTGCTTTACATTTCTCTACCGGCAGGTCCTTGGCCCTGGTTTTTAAATTTTTTGCTTAATTCTCGAATTACCTCTCTCCATGGGCTTCAAATCTCATTTCAGATCCTTCCCGTGTTGATGGGACCCACTTCTCTCCTCCTTCTTTTTCTCAAGTTGCTTTATGCCTGGGTCTGGCACCAAAACTTGGAGAGATTATTTCTGTGCTGCTCACCACTCTGCCATTTTCCTGGAAGTTCCCAATGAATTTTAAGACTGTTTTCTCTAGTTCTATGAGGGATAGTAGTGGGTTTTTTGATCAGGATTGCATTAAATGTATATAAAAATTTTAAGTATGGCCATTTTCATTATGTTGTTCTTTTTGACCAAGGCCAAGGTATCCTCTTTGATCTTTTTCAGAGAACCATAATTTTCAGTGTATAGATAACTTACTTTCTTTGTTAGATTGATTTGTAAATATTTCATTTTTGTGGATGCTATTGTGAAAGGTGTGGTTTCTCTAGTTTTTCAGTGAGTTTGTGTACAGGAATGCTATTGATTTTTGAGTGTTGATTTGCATTACCTGCATTACTGAATTTGTTTATTAACTCTAGGAATCTTCTGGTCGAGTTTTTGGGGTCTTTTATGTAGAGTAGTACGTCATTCTCAAATAATGATAATTTAAATTCTTCCTTTCCTGTCCTTATTCCTTTTATTTTTTCTCTTGTCTAACTGTTCTGGCAAATGTTTCTAGAACTATATTAAATAGGAGTGGAGGTAGTGGACTTCCTAATTTTAGAGTAAAAGCTTTCAGTTTTTGACCACTTAGTATAATGTTGGTTATTGGTTTGTCATAGTTGGCTTTTATCAGATTGAGATAAAAACCATCTATTCTAATTTTCTATTGAATGGGTGGACTTTGTCAAATACTCTTTTTGCATCTATGAGATGATCATGTGATTGTTGTATTTGGCTCTGTTAATACGGTGTATTACATTTATTGATTTGCATATGTTGAACCATCCTTGCATCTCTGATATAACAAAATGTTCAGCTTTATTTGTCATTTAATAGATACAAATTAAAATAATGCTGAGATTTCGTCTCTTTCCAGAAAGAATAACTATTATGAAGAAAACAACCAGTAACAAATGCTGGCAGGGCTGTGCATAAAAAGGAACCCTTCTCTACTATTGATTTGAGTGTAGACTGGTGCAATCACCATGGAGATCAGTATGAACATTGTGCAAAAAACTAGAAACAGATGTTCCGTTGGACCCATCTATTTTCTTTTTCTTTTTTTTTTTTTTTTGTCCTTTTCCTTTTTATCGGTACCGGGGATCGAACTCACAACTGGCTGCTTGCAAGGCAGGCGCTTATGCCGCTGAGCTAAATCCCCAGCCCCTATCTATTTTCTTTTTTATTACCTTCCCAAAAGAATTAAAAGCATAATACTACAGCAGTATGTGCACACTCATGTTTATAGTAGCAAGTTTGTAATAGCTAAATCATGGAAACTACTCAAATGCCTGTCAACCAATAAATGGATAAAAACAATGTGGTTTTTTATACAATGGTGTACTTCTTAGCCAAAAAGGATAAACTTGATACATTTCTAGGAAAATGAATACACCTTGAGACCATATTGTGAAATAATTTGGACACACATGTGAGTATCACATTGTCTATGTGGTGTGAGAAACTGAAAGTGTAAATAAAGACCAAAATGTTTAATGGATATTGTGAAATAGGAAGAAATTGTTCAAAAGAAAAGAGTAAGGGGTTCGGGGAAAGGAAAGGAAAGGAAAGGAAAGGAAAAATGAGACAGGAAAGATAAGATGAAAACAAAGCTTTGTGAATAAAGAGAAGAGGGACTAAAGAGAAGGGAAGGGAATGGAAAAAATTGGGAATTTGTACCTGTTCATGATATATCTTGATTTCTCCATGATTAATGTGATCATTATATCTAAACTGTACCAATAAACTTAATAAAACCAGTATGAACTTGTTTGATATGATCAACTTTCTGTTCTAAACATGTGAGTTTTAGTTATACTTGTATAAATATTCCTTTCTTTTTGGTCTCTCTTCTTTTGGGGGGCGGGTTGGGGAAGAAAGGCCTATTACATGTGAAACAAGTGCTCTACCACTAAAGCTACATCTCCACTCCTAAATGTTTCTATTTTTACATTAAGGGGCTGTATTTGAATTTCATTGAAATTAACTAAGAAAAGGGAAAAAATGAAAAACTGACATTAAAATTAAGAAGTTCTCTTCATCTGAAAAGATTAAGTGAGCAAACAGGTAAGCCACAATGGGAGTAGGTGTTTGCAGTATATTCAATAAAGGACTCATAGCTACAATATATAAAGAATTAAAAGTCACAGAATTCAGTACTTTCTTCCCTCTAGCCAAAGACATAAGCCTTGAATAACAGTTTACAGACCAAAACACATATTTGACCAATATGTCCTCAAAAGTGCAAATTAGTGCTATTATGATACAACAAATGGAAAAGACTGATAATTCAGTGTGTACAGGTAGTGAACTGAAACTTGTATGCATTGCTCATGAGAGCAGAAATTGGTAGAGCCTTTGACCCAGCACTTCTATCTTTAGGTTTAGAGATCCAATAGAAATGAACTCTCCAAGGAGTATGTCTCAAAAGTTAGTAGTGGCATTATCTGTGCTAGTATTGGATTTAAAAAATGCTACTAAAATGTTCCTCAATAGTAAATGGTGAAATATACTGCTTTGTGTAACAAACATGATTTTCAGTATTGAGGGAAAAATACAAAGGTGTTCATACTTGGCGATCTCATTTAAATAAAATTGTTTTTCCTTGGGCCAGGGGTTTAACTCAGTGGCATAAGTGCCTGCTTGGCAAACACGAGATAATGAGTTTGGTCCCTGGCACCAAATAAATAAATAAATAAATAAATAAATATAAAATTTTTTAAAAAAAGTTTTTCCTATGCTAGACAATGGCCAGTTCAGAAACAGATCTACCCTGTGGTACTAGAAGTCATAGTGGTCACTCGTTTTGAAAGGTTATAATGTGCCCAAGGGAGTGACTTCTGAGATACTGGTAGTGTTTTCCTTCTCAGTAGTTACGTAGGTTGATTCAGTTTGTGAAAATTCTTAAATGTATACCTCATGATTTGTGTATTTGTATACTTAGCTATTTCATTTTTGTAAATAACTCATTGTTTAAAAAAATCCAGGGAATCTAACTTTTTGTATGTGTGCAGTATATTAATTACATCCTGGAATGGTAACTAGTAATTAAAATTCTTCAATATTAACCATAATTGTCTTTGAAACCTTTCTATTTTTATAGATTGGTGCTTTTATTTGGTTGTTATAGTTTCAGTATTATAAAGGTCTTTGTGAAGTTTGAAGATTTTAAAGGGCCAGAAAACAAAGAATCTCACTTTTTTGGCATTTAGGTTAGAAAAAAGGGTAGTAAATTACATATGAAATCTGCCAATGTATAAAAAATATTCAAAGAACTAAGATAAAATGGCAGTTAGCTTTCACTAGGTGTGACCTCATTAGTACAAAGAAAAGATTTTTGATTTAGAGTAGTGCAAATCTAGTTATGGTTGCATGTACTTCTTAGGTAACAATGACTTATTTTTCTTGTGCTCTCATATGGCTCTTGTAGCAACCATCTGTCATATGTTAATTCTCCAGGATAATGTAGTTTGTTTTGTTTTTGTTTTTTTTCCTTTGTTTGTTTGTTTGTTGGACGCAGTACAACTCATTTTTATTTCTCTCTAACGAGTGGCTCCTCTTAGGTCTGACTCATGGCACTGTGGCTGTAGGTTTTTTTTCCCATCTGTTCTGTTACTAAAAGAATATTAAAAGATGAATGCTCTGTGAGTCTGTCAAATCCAATCTAATAATTACTACCACTTTTCGAGTATTTTTCTGAGCTTAACCATGTATGGAAAACGTCTTTTTGTGCCCAGTGGTAATCTTAATAGGCATATTATTTTATTCACCACCATGATATGTTACTGATTTTTTCAGGTGTCCATATACTCTTTATTATTTTCATGTTAAAGAGCAATACATTGTGTAGGTGTTATCCCCCACCCCATACATACACACTCAGACACTGGAGATTGAACTTACTGAGCTATATCCGCAGCTTCTTTCCTTGTTTTGTTTGGGACAGGGTCTTGCTGAATTGCTTAGGTTGGGCTTCAACTTGAAATTCTCATGCCTCAGTCTCCCAGAGGTGCTGGGATTTAGGTGTAAGCCACCATGCCTGGTTTAAATTGTAGTTTGATATGTACCATTTTCTATGTTATCACTGTTAGACAAATTGACTTGTTTCCAGATTCTTTACCTGTTTTATTGAAAAAAAAATTGTAGCAAATCATATTTCATTCATAAAATGTTTGGTTTCTGTTACATTGTTTACATAGTGACTGTAGGTGTGCTATTGATTATTTGTCCAAGGGTTATGAGCTTTTTGGTAAACACTGCCAACTTTTAAAGTTGCTACCCTAGTGCAAAGGGCCAGAAATGATGTTAATTCAGCTTTATTAGTATCAAATATGGAAAATACTATTTTGGAAATGTAGTAGTTATAATTAGTTCTAATGATTATTTGCCATAATGTTTCAGTGTTTAGTTTTTAGTTGTTAATGAGAGTAAACATTTTGACTTTTTTTTTGAGACAGGGTCTCACTAAGTCAGAGTTGACTAGATACTGGCCTTGAACTTGAGATCTTATTGTGTGTAGCCATGCACAGCTCAACATACATTTAATATTATATTCAAGAGACTGAGACAGGAGTATCACCTTTAGTTCAGCCTCAGCCTGGGCTAAACAGTGAGTCAGAAGCCAGCTTGAATTATATAGGGAAGCCATGACTGAAAAAAAATACTGAATTTATATTTCCTTATGATTAACTAGTAATTAAGTATAAAAACATCAGCCAGAGATTTAGCTCAGAGGCATACACAGTGCCCGTCTGGCCAGCGTGAGGTTTTGAGTTCAATCTTTGGTATCAAAATAAACAAATTAAAAAAAAAAAAGAGTCGAGAAACTTAATTTAAGTTAGGAAATTTCTAAATTATCTTCTTTTTAAATCAAATGTACTGAGAGAGTCCTGCTTATTCACAATCTGATGGCATATGCCACTGTGATGCTTTAAATTCTTTTTACTTTCTTCTTCTTGCATAGAAACATGGAGGAAATCCTAGCAACTTTTTCTTTATTAACTGACCTTTGATACTGCAACAGCACATTCTTCTTGTTACTCTTAAACAAGCAATAATTTGAGAAAATTTTTGTCACATTGTGTCCAATATTTTTTTCTATGTTTTTCATTTGAAAATACTTTCAAAGGGAAAACTTAGGTAATTTAGGTGTTACAGGATAATTCTTGCCAGTGAAAAATGACTTGCAGGAACTTGGTTTGACATTTATGTTGACAGCAATTAAGAGACATACTTTTGTGTATTAACCCTAACTATTTGGTATGTAGTCTCATGTGTAATTTATATTTGATTAGCACTAATCTCACACCCAAGTGAATTATTGCTGTAACTCAGTTGGTGCTTTACTACCAACTTAACTCATTTTGAAATCTTTCTTTGGTGCCTCACTTGACTCCTTCAACTTTCTTTCACTTCTTGTAACCTTTCCTGTTCTTTTACTAATCTCAATTACTGGACTCTGTTTATTGTACATTTGTAAACTCTAGTGCCTACAGGAGCCTCACTGACAATGTCAATCAGTAAAAGTAGGCCTTTGGGTAAAAAGATACTTTTCTACTATAAGAGGAACAATAAGGTAAGTGGTATGATAAATATGAGCCAACAGAGGCATGGGATCAGTAGCCCAGTGCTAGGATGGGACAGGAGTGAGAGAGTGCAAGCCCCATGCAGCCTTTTTGTTCCTGTCATTATTGTGAGTTGAGGATATAAGGCCCACACACTCACATCACCTAGATTTTCAGTAGAAGCCATTACCCTGATTTGCATGTTAAAGCTCTGATTTTGAAAAGTGAGGTTGAATTTTTGTAAAACACTTGTTGGCCCAAAGAACTAATGAACCCATATACCCATGAACCCATATCCCCATGATTCATACATAGGCTTTTAGTTCATATTTGTTTCTTGTGAAGGCAGCACTTTGTGTTACCTGCCATTTTTCCACTTCATTTCTATCTATGTTTTTCTCTCTATATTCCTTAATGTAATAGTGTAGCCATCCATCTAGTTATTTTAACCAGGAACTTCAAAATTATCATTGACATCTCCTTACCTTATTACTTCATTTCAGAGAGGGAACTAGATCAAGGAAAAGACTTTCCATGATTAAAAGAAGTTCATACATGGTCCATCCTCTTGTAAGAGATTATAAAGCTGTTAGCCTTACTGGGCTTATCTTCAGTTAATTTCCATTGCCTTTCTAGTTTTTAGAATTTCTTTACAAAAGTGCTTCACAAAAATGTCTAAGATTTTCACCTCTCAGAAGTGTGGTATATATCTTTGTATGTTAGTGAGATGCCTAAAAGATCCTGTAAATGGGGCTGGTTTCTGGGGAATCAATCAAGTGATTAGAAATTCAAAATTTATGCCAGGCATTGTGCCACATGCCTGTAATCCCAGCAATGGGGAGGCTGAGAGGTGAGGACTGCTGCCAGTTCGAGGCTAACCTGGGCTAGTTAGTGAGTTCAAGGCTGACCTGAATTACATATTGAGATCCTGTCCAAAAAACCAATAATGTTTTAAAAGGATATTTAGTCCCAACTCAGGATTTCCACAGAGGATAAATGTGCTTGGCATCTGGGGCCACTGACTCATCCCTATATGGCAAAGCCTCCATTCTTCATAGAAATTCCTAAAAACATGTAGTTCAGAGAGATCCTGGCCTAGTGAATGCTTCAATGTGCTGAGAAGACATGCCCCTTGCTTACACCTCATGTTATTCATGTCTTTCATTTGGCTATTCCTTATTTGCAACCTTTGTAATAAACCAGTAAACATAGGTAACTGTCTCTTAGAATTCCAAGAAATTATCTAACTCCATTGGGCTTTGATGTGGAAAACCCCAGTTTAAAGCCAGTCTGTCTAAAGTACAGTGACCCTGTCTTGCATTTCGCATCTGAAGTGGGGACAGTTGGGAATTGAACTCACAACCGCACACTTGCAAGGCAGGCACTTACAACACTGAGCTTACCCTGCCCAAACCTAAGTTGTTTGTTTGCTTGTTTTGGTATAGGGATCAAACTTGCAACCTCACACTTGCCAGGCTGAAGTGGGGACATCCTTATGAGTCT